TTTTGCTATAAATAACGATGTATTTTAGTAGGTTCGATAGGTTTTTGTTGAATACAAATAAAGTTTTATTTGCTCGATCAACTTAGACTTTTCAATCGGTGAAAGGGATTTTCACCTGGTGACAGCGCCCGACCTAACAACTGGTGAGAGCGGTAACTATTGTGAAAGTTATATCAGCACAATAGGCGAACTCCTCGTTTAGTATATTATTCTATTTATTATTGGCAGCGTATTATAATTCGGATTTATTGATTTATATTGGCTTTCAAGTTTATGAACGTAATTGCAGATAGAACAAGGTCCAAAACAAACAAATTAACATCAAACATGAGCAACAATGATTGTAATACACAGTCGAAACAAGAGACTACTGCAATTGAGGATGAACGTGGATATATTGATAAATCCACAACCACTTTATTTCGGACAACATCGATCTTAGATGAGGATAAAATACGATCAGATGATAAAGTTACGTTAACCTCAATTTTAAGTAAGCAACACATACCAAATGTATTAGAGAGAATTCAGGATTTTTATGGTACAAAACAAGAAGATGTGGTAGCATGGATCGACCAACTGGAAGTTGCACTAGATTTAACTGACCATGCACAAGGTAAATGGAGTAAATTAGCTGCATGGTATTTAAAGGGTGTAGCATTAAGTTGGTATATTAGGAATAAAAACCAAGTTTATGACTGGGATTCATTTAGACAAATGATAGTCGATAAATACCCAACATGTGTTAATCATCATAATGATTTAATTAAACTGGAACAAGCAATTCCCTCTTCAACAACAATATTAAATACAAAATCTGTCTCAACAATCGACTTATCAAATAATTTGCTTAAAACATTGATGGAACATAAGGCAAAACAGTTACCTATATTTAGTGGAAAAGACAATGAAAATGTTACAAAATGGTTAACTAACGTCATACAAATAGGTAAGATGGTGAATTGTAGTGATGATGGGTTATATGTCGTGGCAAAATTTAAACTAAAAGGTGATGCTCAAAATTGGTATCAAAAGAATCAAGATAAAATATGTGATTGGAAAACGTTTAACCAATTACTATCACACAGATTTCCGGCAACACCACCAATGACCGAGAAATATTACGCCAATTAGCCGGGCGTAAACAAGTATGGAATGAACCAATTTCAAGATTTTATCGTGACATAATGAATTTATGTGATAAATACGATTCCAGTATGGCAGATTCATCACGAATTGGCTATTTACAAGATGGATTAAAACCGGAATTGTAACATTATGCATTAAACCAACAAATAACAACACCAGAACAATTTTTTAATATTATGTAACAACATGAACATATTCAAGTCAGATTATCAAATGTTCAGCTCAATGACTTAGGAACAACAGCGATAATACAAGAAACATCGACTAGAAAAGGTGTCCAACAATCAAATACAACATCAGTCGATCGTTCACAACAACAACAGCAGTCAGCTCATACCTCACCATCAACAAACAATCGTCCACAAAACTCAAATAGTAATATTCAGCAATATATTAATTTCAATACACGTCCACGATATTATAATCAACAACAAGTATGTTATACATGTGGTCAGCCTGGGCATTATGCCAGATATTGTTCGCAATATTTAAACCAGTGATGGAATCACGTAATGGTGGTAGTGGCTCCAACAATCACAATATAAAACCATCACCTTTAACATTTATTACAGTTCCAGTGAATGGAAAAATGATCAAAACCTTGGTGGATACTGGAGCAATCAATTCAATTATTAATCAATCCACCTTATCAAAGCTTCATCATGCACCCATCACAAGAAAAAGTTATTATTATCAATTAGTCAATAAGACTAATATGCATTTTATTGGCGAAGTACAACTGAAGGTTAGAATTAAATATATAACCACCTGGGTTACGGCCTTGGTGACGGATTCATTATGTACCAATTTTATTTTGGGTAAAGATTGGATACGACAATACCAAGGTGATGTATTAGAAAGCAGTCAGGAGATTAGAATTAGAATTAGATCTGGTCCAGTATCAATACCATTTGATGAAGATACAGAAAATGTTGCGTTTGATATTAAACTTCTTCATCCAATTATATTAGATCCACGACAAGAATGTGAGGTTGAAGCACAAGTTCCCATTTCAACAGCTGACACAGTTATATTTCATCCAAAACAACAACTTCAACATAATCCGGCAATTTTGATGCCACATGCATTACTGAAAATTACAAATTATACGACAAAATTGACGGTGATCAATCTAAATGACCATCAAAGACACATTCCACGGAATACCAGCTTAGGTGTTATTACCTATGCTCCATCTAGTGTGCAATGTTTTGCATTAACTTCATCATCACCATCAAAACGACACTCATCCTTGGATATTCAACACAATGATAGCAGAACTCAGCAATCACCAACATCAAGTGATATTGATAATACCATACATAAATTGATCAACCATTTAGATGAACAAAAACAACAAGAAGTATATCCAATGTTATTGAAACATCGAACATTATTTAATTTATCAAAAATGACAATCGCCAATACACAGATTCGACATGTAATTCGCACGGGTGATCATAATCCGATTAGTTCCAGGCCATATTCAAAAACAACAAATATTAGCAGAACACCTCAACAGATGGGAAAGAATTATCTCATTAGACGTTCAACCTCACCATGGGCGTCTCCAGTTGTCTTGATCAAGAAGAAAGACGGGTCAACTAGATTTTGTGTAGATTACAAGAAACTTAACAACATCACCAAAAAAGATTCCTATCCATTACCACATATGGGAGAAACAATTAATCGCTTTGATGGTCACCAATATTTCACCAAATTAGATCTTAAATCTGGCTATTTCCAAATACCCATCCAAGAAGATGATAAAGAAAAAACAGCATTCATTCTTCAGGATGGTCACTGGAAATTCGATGTGTTACCACAAGGTCTCAAAAATGCGCCTCCCACATTTCAGCGAATTATGAATGAATTATTAGCATATCAAAGGTGAGATCATTGTTTGGTTTACCTTGATGATATTATTATATTTTCCAAATCATTTCAACAACATGTACAATATTTGGATGAAATATTAACAGTATTAAACAATGCGAACTTCCAATTAGATCCATCAAAATGTTCATTAATTCACCTACAAATGGATTATTTAGGCCACACAGCCAACAACGAAGGTGTTACACCTTTGATGGATAAAGTTAAAGCTCTTATTGATTTACCGACACCAAAATCAATTAAGGACGTTGATGCATTTTTGGGAGCAGCTAGTTTTTATAGAAAATTCATTCCAAATTTCTCCATAATAACAGCCCCATTACACAAGTTAACAAGAAACAGAAAACAAAAATTCTTCTGGTATCAAGAACAATAACAAGCTTATGAACAATTGAAAGAAAGTTTATCAACAGAACCGTTATTATTGTCATTTGCCGACTCATCATCACCACTGGTTTTATCAACAGATGCATCCGACATTGGTTATGGTGGCGTTTTAAAACAAATTACCAAAGACGGTCCAAAGCCAATCAGCTATTTATCACGTAAATTAAATCCGGCGGAGAAAAGATATGATACCACCGAAAAGGAATGTCTAGCCATGGTGCGTTGTATTGAAGAATTTAGATCATATCTATTAGGACGAGAATTTACAGTGAAAACTGGCCATTGTCCGTTGTGTAATTTTCATAAAAAACCGTCCAAAGTGGATAGATGGTCAATTGGTTTAGGTGAATATGATATCGTTGAAATAAAATATAAAAAAGGCAAATGTAACTGTGATGCGGATTTAATGTCAAGATATCCAGCAACAACATTCAATGACCAGATAACATCAAGAAACGTTAAAGGTAGAATGAATGGTGCACTAATTGACGATGAAGAAGAAGTAAATCCACAAGTTAATGTAATTTACTAGAGCAGCAGCTAAAACAATTACGAGTAATAACAATAACAAGACAATAGCATTAGCTGGTAATCACACTAAATCCCCAAAGCCAGCTCAAACAATGACACCACATTTATCCATAACTGCAATGCAACTACGCCCAAGAAATAAAATAATAAATCCAAAAACATCGAACAGTATACCATCAACGTCTCTGCCACCGATTAGTAAGGTATCCACAGCAACACCACCAACTGATTTTGATATTACAAAATTAAAAATGGAACAACAACAGGATACAGTCATCCTCGATAAAATCAAAGAAATCAAGCAAGATCCAACCACATTGTCGTATGAGGTAGTCGATGGTCTTTTATACAAGATTGCGCCCAGAAAGAGTGCCAAGAACATCAAATTACCATATCTACCACAATCAATGATTCCAAGAGTCATGGCTGCTTATCATGATCATCCAACAAGTGGACATTTTGGCATAAGACGGACATGGCATAAATTAAAAGATCGATATTTCTGGTCCAATATGATGTCAACAATCGAAAATTATATTAAGTCATGTGAAAAATGTGCCAAATTTAACATCCGAAGAACTAAAGCACCAGGTAAATTACACCCTATTACACCATCCGAGGGTATATTCGAAACAATTGGAATGGATTTTTGGGGTCCAACACCTCATCCATCGACTGAAGGAAACAGGTATGTGTTGGTAGTAACGGATTATTTATCAAAATATGTCATAGCCAAAGCCATGCCAAACAACACAGCAGCAACAACAGCACAATTCATCGTCGAAGATGTTATCTTGAAATATGGTGTACCCAGAAAATTAATTACAGATCAAGGATCACACTTTAAGAACGAATTGATGGGCAGTATTACTCGGCTTTGTGGATGCAAACACGTCTTTGCAACAACATACCATCCCCAAACAAATGGACAGGTTGAACGTTTCAATGCAACCTTTTATCCGCAATTGGCAGAATTACATGATGAAAATGTTAATGATTGGGATGCATACTTAACCGCATGTGTAGTTGCCTACAACACTGGAGTTCATGCGACAACTGGGTACTCACCATTTCAACTGATGTTTGCTCGCCAACCCGTTTTACCCTTTGATGCACCAAAAGCAGTAATCGTATTAACAAAGCCAAATGATTATTGGACACAAATCAATCGATTAATGAATAGCTACAAAAGGAGTGTAAAGTACAACATCAATTACCAACAACAGTTGACGAAACGACGTTATGACAAGGGACGTGCCAATCCAATTTATCATCCAGGTGATTTAGTATTTATCAAACAGCATGGTAAACGTCCAAAATTCGGTGAATTATATTCTGGACCATACAAAGTGATACAACAACAACATCCACTCGCATATTTAGTGGAAGATGAAGAATCATCAATTCAAGAACAGGTTCATGTTAGCAGAATACAACCTGTCGATCAGAAATGAATACAGAAACAGGATTATGTTTTTCTCTGATCCACTGAAAAAGAGGCTCAGTGATCTCAGCGTAATTTTTGATAAAACCCTTTCAGAAGTTCAGCGGAGACGATAACTGTTCACGGGAGATACTGTTCCGTGCTCTTGATCGTCCTTGGATAGCGCATAAGAAGAACCATTGAGCATGTCTGCAAGGTAAACACAACGAGACTCAACACCATGCCAGTTTTTGTTGACATCGGCATTTGATGCGGTGCGCACACGAGCGGAATAAAATACGACAGAGAGAAAATAAAATACTTTATCTTCACTTCACCTGTCGTCCATTTCTTTTCCTTCTTTCTGCACAAGTGACCTCGGAAGTACGATTCTCTTTCGCCTTCTTTCACAAATATTGTTTTTCTCACGGTCAGATGAAGCAGAAAGAAATATTTAATTTATCCAAACGTGAAGCTTTATGAGTTGGCCTTTTTCCTTTTCCATCCGTATATTGTGAAAGAAGTCACTTTATTTATAGCTCATAAGTACTACTTCATCTATTACGTCTTTACGCTCAAACTTGCTACCTATGTGATTGGTGATTCAATTACCAGGCATTCTATTATCTGGCAAAATCTTTTCAGATTTTGGCTTTTATTGAAAATTGAAATTTATTGTTCCATAATGAAGTTAACCATAACAAATACACATAAATATAATTTATTCATTCAAAAAAATCATAAAAAGGAGCAAAGGAGAACATATTTTGTTCCTATAATCTTTCACAATCAGTTCGATACACATATATAAAATCACATTAGCAAATTCACATAGTTAATAATGATTGAATATAGAATTTATGCACAAAAGTGAATAAAAAGTCGAAGGTTTAAGAGATGCATATTGCGTCCTATGCAGATTTTCAAATGCTGACCACTCGCTAAGTGTGTGTTGAGTTTTCAGGATAAGACGATTCAGAAATTTACTATCCTTTCTAAAACCGCAGGTCTTATACCAGAAGTTGAATGGGGTAGTTGCGATCAAAAAGGAGGCCCATGTCTGTTGAAAGGAGAGTGCTTCATTTGATTCGTCAACATGTTTTGAAAATTTTATCCAATAATTATATATATAATCGTTTAATGAGTATTCTCTACTCAAAATTAAAGTAGTTATATCATCGAAATTCCTTAACTTATACGCAATTCTTAAATCGCTACAATACACATGTTCTATTTGTTGTTTCTGTTTATCTATAAAAAAGAACCATGTAGAAAGTAACCATATGAAATGAAGTAGGACAAACGAAATAAATAGTATTCTCCTTAATTGTATTTCATTTTTTGGAATTATATAAAACATTAGCTATTCTCAGTGCATTATAAATTTTTCTTATCTTTTTTATTTTTTCGTTATGAAACATCCCATTTTTGTATTGAAATTAATACCTAGATATTTATACGTTTTAACATATTCTATTTTCTTTCGTTTATACTCTAATTTAGGATACGATGGTGATACGACATTATGTACTAAAACTGCTTTCGTTTTAGACATATTTACATGAAGAACCGCCATTAAACGAGCTTTAAAAGTACATACTGCTTTGTTTTCCATCGTGCTTTGTCATTGAGAAAGTTCATATTTTTTAGATCAGAAGCGCGAAAGTCTGCTGGTATTCTCAATTTTATTCATCATGGCTCACATTTTATTTAATAAAAATATCATATTCAGAATTAGCGTTGGAAACTGAAACGAATGGTGTGCTTCGTTAGTCTACCCGACTATGAGGTTTTTTAACTTTTACGTTGAAAAATTGGTGAAATTTTCAACAAAAATGAAAATTAACAAAAGGTTTCGAAATATATATAATACGATTTAGTTTGCGATGCTGATTCTGAATATGATATTTTTATTAAATAAAATGTGAGTCCTGATGAATAAAATTGAGAATACCGGCAGACTTTCGACTTTTGTGCTCCTGATCTAGAAAATATGAACTTTATTAATGACAAAGCACGATGGAAAAAAACGCAGTAGGCATTTTTAAAGCTCGTTTAATGGCGATTCTAATAAAGTGCAAAAATCCGCTCCATTTTTTCAAAGAAACAACTAGATTGGTTTGCAAAATGGTTTCTGAACTTTTTATAGGCGAAAGCGAAGTCTGATTGTTTTTTTCTTTTCGGTATATTCGTATAATATACCGTTCGATTTTGCTTTGTCCGGGCATCAAGAATATTATCTTATTTTTACAAAAGGACGTAATAAAAATGAGAAAGATCAATTTTAAGATCAACGATCAATAATATATACGAGGCTTTTTCAATGTTGAATTTTTTTTCTTATTAATATAGCTGGTCGCGAAGGCTCAAATTGTGTTGCTAGATAGAGTTAAGTATCAGCCAATTTTTGACAAAGTTTAGGAGTGGTACTGTATTTCTTTGACCTGCTATAGAAGTTTTAGTGAAGCGTATGAAAAATGAAAATTTCAAATTTTGCTCGAAAAATATTTTTTTCTCAAACAACAACTATGTTCTTTCAATTCTTTTATCACCAGTTTATAGCGCGTTTTGCACTCTACAAAATTCAGTATAAACAATATCTTCACTATACTTCCTTACTGAGCTGATAAACTTTGATTTTTCATTAGTAAATGGTCAAACTTTTTAAAAAATTATTTTTTGAGAAACGATCATAGTTTTAAACCAAAAATTATATATGGTTAGATGCGCAATAAAATTCTCTATCGAACCTGCTATTCAGCTTTTTGATACTTCCAAATTTTTAAATCCGGCAGGGTCCTTTATAATCAAATAGCGTGTATACCTTTAAAGATACCTTTAGCCTAATATACCTTTAGAAAAAAATAACAATTAACGAAGTAATAAAGACGTGGAAGTGTTTTAAAACTAAGAAATCAACTGATAACTCGAATACTTCAGCATTTCTATTGAAAAAATTACAAGAGAAATACTTTAAAATTATTACAGTTTTATTTAATAAGTGTGCAGAGCAAGGTTTAATCTTTGATAAAAGTAAACATACAAAGGTGATATGGTGGCCGAAAGACGGACTCTACCCAGAGAAAAATCGCGACGATTGATGTCAGTTAAAGAGAAAGAGGCTCTAGATCTACCGATTTAGTGTCTACACGTGCCCACGCAAGAGCGGCCCAATTTTCTGGGTTATTTATCTAGATTCACGTGCATCTAGATGTACGTGGAGCTGAATCTAGATAAATAACCCAAAAAATTGCGCCGTTTTTGCTTGAGTGGTTTCTTGTCTTTTATTCTCTATGCTTTTCCAAATATTGTTGATAAGATGCTCTCCAGATTCGCTTTCAAGAATTTCCTTAAGAGGACTATAAATCCTGACTTCAACCTATCAGCACATATAGCTCTGCTCATCAAGAGCGGACTTGCACATATAACAAGTCGAAATCATTTCGACTTGTTATACGTGCAAGTCCGCTCTTGATGTCAAAGTTAAAGTTTAACTTTGACTTGAGAACAAAGAGATGCTATTATCTTCAAATGCACGCTCAGTTACAGAAAAAACAAAATGGTAGTTGAGTGAGAGCTGAAGCTCCGGCGTATTTTTGTGAAATTGAAGGTATAGCAGTAGAAACTATCATATTGTATAACATATTGAATATAACTAATTTAATCAAATTCTTCGTTTTTTAATCGGTGTTTGTTCTCCTTTGTATTAAGTTCGAGATTTGAATAATGCAACTTTTTAAGAAAAAAAAAAGAGCTTTTGTATGTTTAGAAAAGTAAAATTTGTTGACTTTGCTCATTTCGTATTATACGTAGAGATCGTTTAATCTGGTAATAACAGTTTTCTTATAACATTGTCTTTACAAACGCCATCAATAAACTCTTCACTTGATATTCTATCGTCCATATCACGATCTAAAGTCGTCATTATCATTTGAACACGATACTCTGGGGTATTTTCTAATGCACGTCTATCAACATTTAACATGTCAAATATAGCCTAGTAACGAAAAAGTAAATTGTTTCATTTATAAAGAACGAAAGAGAGCGTTGAACTCACATCTAACATTTCTATCATTTCATTTCTATCTATATATCCATTATGATCAGTGTCATCTAAAAGAAAAAAGAAAACACATTTAGTTATATTGATGTTTTTTGAACGAAGACTATCTTACACATATTAAATATCCATGTGATTCGTTCACGATCTGTATTTTGTCTACCAGCAATTGAGAATGCAATCAAAAATTCACAAAAATCTAAAGAAAAGAATACAACAGAAAAGTCAGTTTTAGTTTTAGTTAGATATGTGTGTTAAAAACGCTAAATATATTTTTCTCTCTTTTATATGAAATACTATATAAACAATCTTATTGAGAACAATATTTTATTCGAAAAATAGTGATGGTTCAATCTAGAGTAATAATTAATGTGATTATAACGGTTTCGTTTCACTTTTAAATTAAAAAATTTCAATTAAAAAATAAGTATATTAGTAATACACGTTATGACATCAAATAGCATAGTACAACGGAAACAACTTTATATATTAAATGAATAACATCAGTGCCACTTACCAATATAACCACTTTTGTCTTTATCGAATGCTCGAAAAACATATTGACTATACGTTTTTGCTTTAGCAGCATCAGGATATAAATCCGAATAAAATCGAATAAATTGTTCTTTATTCAACGTTCCACTAGGACAATCTAAACAATACAGCACATACTAAAATCAGTAAAATAAAAGTATTTTTGTCTAATTTCGTGTCTCTACTATTCTGGAACAGAGAGAACCTCATATGCTCGAAAATCCAAAATAATCTACCATTCCCGTTAAGCAAAGAACACTTAAATGTTTTTGGTAATAAGTACGTTATAATAAACTTCCCGACTAAAACAGCGAAATCTAATAACACGCATCCCTATAAGGATCCGAAACTGACAAAATCCAGCCAAATTTCGCATAAATCAGACCGTTGTGGAAGACAAAGTAGTACACATTCAGGAGACTAGACTTTTGACCAAATGTTGCTGATTTTCATGCGAGATTGGTGCAACTAATACTAATATTAGAGAAAATTACGCGTTCACTTCAGGTTTTGAACAATATTCTCAATATTGATAAAATAATAATAATAGGTGGTAAGAAAACTGTATTGCGTAAAAATTTTAAATTCTTAACCCATAACATGATATTTGAAGGAAATATCATACACTTATAAGCTGACTATCTACTTATTCCAGTTAAAATACTCTTCATTCTGACTATAAAATGTAAAAAAACAAACAAAATACATCATTCTATTTATATTTTCTATTCATCGATCAATTTACTATCAATCGACTAAACTAAAATTAGTATTACCTAGTATAAATGCTGCATGCCAATTTTCAATATCATTTCGAGATAGACCTGTATGTTTTTCTATCATTTGAATATCATTTTCCGTTAAATTTTTTTTGGATTGTTTCGTGCCCATAATTCTTTTGTATAATAATATGTATATTAATTATAATTCGATTGAATCATTCTCTTAGAAAAACTTAAATATATATAAAAAAAGAACTTTTATCAAATATATATATACATCCGAAGTTGATTTATGAGGATCATTTGTTGCAATAGTAGTTATTCTTGACGTTCTCATCAAATCAGAATTAATGAACACGCATATGGAAAACAGAGGTCTATCTATTTTCAACTGTTACACTATGCATGCTTATATAAAAAAAAATCGAATAGAAATGTTTCTAACATGTTTCTTGCTGTCAATTAAGGTTAAAATTCAACAATAAATGGAAAATTTCGCCTTTTTCTTTTGTTTTCATTAGACTACGATATAAAAGTAATAATAAAAAATAATAATGTTTCTTGTGAGAAACGACGAAAAAAAAAAATTATTTTCATATCCTTTTAATAGTCTGGAAATGTCTATCCTTTTTTTTTTTTTTTTTTATCTGTAGAAGTAAAGTGGTACATAAATGATGTATTTTTATAATTGATTGAAATCATTATGTGATGCTATTCATTGTTAGAGTGATAATAGAGATGAAATGAAGAACTATTCTTTTTTTTTCTTCTTCATAAGTTTGATGACATACCAGTGATGACATCAAATGTCGGATATCTATTTCCTTTCGTACAAATTGTAATAAAAATAAAATGATCCATACACATAAATGTTTTCTTATTTTTAAGAGCGATTAAATATCTAAGATATAAATATTAAATATAAATGATAACTTTTACAGGTTATTCTTATTACACGAATATAATTAAATTTATATAGAATTTTGTTCTAAATTATTTTCTTTACTTTTTTCCTATAATAATTTAGTATTAGGTGATTCTATACAAAATATTGAATTCAAATTGAGATTATTATAATATGATGTTTTGATTATCGAGAATCATCAAAAGAAAATGTAAATAAATTCATATTCTCAGTTAATCTTATGCTAATGACCATCTTCATCAACGAAACGATACTATTCACTCTTTCATAGCAAAATAAAAAAAAAACAAATATAAAAATGGAAGGACATTAACATAATTAAAACCGAAGCCTATGTTTTAATGTATGTGTAAGAAAGATTCACTTGTGATGATCATGCACAGAAATTGCACAGTAGATTGTACAAACTATTTCTGTTCTGTTTTTTTTTAATTCGTATATAAACATCGTTTTGACTATCGTCTAAGGAGTAAAATAAATGAATTGTACTTTAACTCCATCTCATAAAAATTTTATAACTAAACAATTTTGATCGTTTTATAGAAATTTTAACTCGTAAAAAATAACATGCAAACTCATCTCTCATCTGGTTTTTCTCCTCTTTTCTTATATATTACGGACAGATTTTTTTTTTGTATCAGAAATTGATTATTTGGTACTTCCTTTCTTGTAATGAAGTGTTTTACATGTGTAAACAGACGTTTCTCGCTTTTTTTATTATATTGGAAAAGTATGAAATCACTAAATAGAATAGTTTACCTGTTCGAAACAAACCAATTTTATTTGAGTTTCTTTATTCTTTTACTTATTTTATGCGCATTATTTTATAGTAACATTAAACGGAAACGGATGAAAAGGTACTTCGAGTAAAATGAAAGCAAGTTGATCAACATCTACAAAAGTTATTGTGTACGAACCGTTGAATGTTCAGAAATAGCACTAATTTTTTACCGTTAACGGATACCTTTTCTGAGAATCGACAACATCATTAGGTAAAACTCTAAATTTTTCAGAAAACCAGTGATTCGTATATGCTGTAAGCAAAAATAAACGGTGAATGTATTTTTCACATGGGATCTGATCAAAAACCTCGTGTATTATAATGGATTCTTTGCTCTTCATTCTACTCCAGTCCATAATAACTGATTTGTAACATGTGGGTTTTTCTTTCAAGTGAACACAGTTATACATAATACAGGTGTAACAGAAAAAATTCGATAGAAGACTAGCAGAATGTTCATAAATTGCATCATCAATGTTCCGAGCTAATCTCTTCCTGAAGTTTTTGATACAAAAATTTCTTTCATATTTGAGGTCGGTTTTCCACTGGTTTTGATCTTAGTTTTGGCACATTAACCAAATACAATAATTTACACATGGTTGAATAGAGACCATCGAAAGTTACATCTAGTGACATGTTTTTTCATCTTCATCAGTTCATATTAGTAGAGAAAAAAAATTTTAACATTGTAAAACTGACTGGAAAATGGATATTATGTATCGAAAAAGACATTTTTCTCCTACTTTTTAATTTTGTGCTTAAAAACTGCACATGACTCAATGTTAGCTACTCATGTCAAAACTTGATAAAAATTATTTTCTTCTAACCGTCTAAAATAGATTTTTTAAAAAGAAAGTCAGATGAGTTCGAGAAAGGCACCCCAAGCGGATTTAATATAAGATTTTTATAAGGTTAGAAGAAAATAATTTTTATCAAGTTTTGACATGAGTAGCTAACATTGAGTCATGTGCAGTTTTTAAGCACAAAATTAAAAAGTAGGAGAAAAATGTCTTTTTCGATACATA